TTTGCCCAGAAACCCTCCCAGCAAACTTCCCCCCTTGTCATCCACATGGGGGATCCCTGGGGCCTAAACTAACCCGTGGCAACAGGAAGGGAATTATGAAGATTAGTTCAAACTAATCACCATTCGATCGTGGGGCTGAGGCTGGGAAGGGGCCCTTCCCCAAGCACACAGGTATGAAAGGGTACATCCAAATAAACCGGGTTTCTGCCAGCAAGTAAGAAGGGAGACGGATTCAGAGAGGTAAGCAATAGTGTCTGCCACACGGGTGGTGTTGGGAAGAAAAGAAGGAAGCATTTGGTAGCAAATAGCATGCTGGATTCTGAAACAGATTGCCTGGATTCAATGCCCTGCCCTGTCACTTAGTGACCTGAGCAAGTAAGTTAAATTCAGGAGGGCTTAGTTTTCTCATCTCTGGAATGGGATAATAGGTCCTACCTAGATTGTAAACTTCATGAGGACAGCGACTTGTCTTGTTCACTGAGTTATCCTCAGCACCTAGCACAGAGCTTTGCACCTAGCAGGTACTCAATAGATATTTGTTGAATGGATTCATAAATTAGATTGTTGTGAGGATTAATTGAGTTAATATATGGCAAGGGTTTAGCACAATGCATAGCCTATACATTGTGCCCAAGGAAATGAGCTTTTAGTCACGTTATAGAGACCGTGGGAACCCTCCACAATTGTCCTCTTGCTGCTTTGTTTCACCTGGGCTGCCACATTGTTCACGAAAGCCGTTGCTCATGCAGAAGCTGAGATGTGTCGAGAAGGCTCTGCTCCTGGTGAACTGGGGCTGGGACAGCAAAGGCGCATCACATCCTCGGCTGGAAAGAGGATAACACTTCTGAGTCCAATACTTGGGACTCTGCAGTTCGTAGCTCTGACCAGTTTCTGAGCTGGCCTTCACATTGTTGTTAACTCCTCAGGGTCAATCCCCTGAACCGCCTCTCTTCTTGCTCCCCCTGGATGGCCCAGAGGCAGAGGCACTGTGGGGATGGAGGCATGGGGGGCTGCTAAACCAGTTTCTCGGAATAATCCCTGTCTTCCCTCAAACTGCACTATGGTCCCTTGACCTCCTCCCGGCTTCCCGTGCCCATTGGTATCCAGACAGGTTCTGCGACCCAAACTGGGCCCCTGGAAGGCCTCGGCATTCCCTCCTCACTTTCAGGCAGCACTGGGCCTTCTGATCAAGGCCAGAGGGTCAGCGGCCAGGCAGCAAGCCTGCTAGCCAGCAGCAGTAGTAACTCTGCCTGGGCTTTCCCAATTTGCTTTCGTTGAGGAGAAATCCCTTAATCGGCAGCCCGCAGGCATGCCTACCCCCATGGAGTCCCGGCAGAGAAAATTCCCTGCCACCAGCTGTCTTCCACGCGCCTTGCGCAGCCCCCAGGTCACCTCACTACCTGGGCTCCCTGCCCCCCACCCCCAGGATGGACGGAGGAGCAGGGCCAGAGAGGGCACCAAAGGGACCCAGCGCATCCCTATCTGACGGGGCCCTTAAGCTGCCTTCCCACTGAGGACCCCCTCAGGACTTGACCTTTACTTGACCATCTTCCCCTTTACTACCAACACCTTGGAGGGCGGGCAGAGATCCCGGAAACCTCCGCTTCCCAGGCAGCCCACCTGCCATGAAGAAAGCCATTTGGGAAAATCTCTTGAAGGTGGGCCTCTCCCTTGGTCTGGTTCTCCTGGAGGCCCAAGGTTTAGGGGCACCTCTGAGGTGAGGCCGCCCCAGAGTGCAGGACACACGCGCTCATTAATCCAAGCCCTTCCTTTCCCGGTAGGGGATGAAGGTGGGACGGATCTGTCCCTCCCTTCCTGGCCCTGCAGTAGTGCGGTTGACAAGTGTAGGCAGGTGGAGACAGGCCCACACAGCCATTAGGAAGGTCTTCGTAAGGCTTCCTAGATACACAGCACAAGGGCAAGTGTGGGGAAGAACCTAAATATCTGGAAAAAATCATCTGGAAAAAGGAATTCTTGCCATGGACTAGAACCCTCGATTTTGTTTCTGAAAGTTTTCATCCTCTGGGAAAACCTGGGAAGCATTCGTTTATCAAACGTTCTGATGTCACTGCTGCATGGCCTTTCTGAGCACGTCCCCACTGGTTTCCTTAAACCACGTAGCAGGACACTGTTGATGTCAGCAATCATCCCAGCTGCGACTGAACCAAAACGAGGCACGTTACCTTTGAGGCTCTAAGTACATCTCCATTGTCAAGAATAAAAGAATAAAGTGGAAAACTGCTATGAAGAGATCGTAAGGCCACCGTCTTGGCAGATTCGCCATGACTGCCACTCCCAGGGAGCCGAGACTGAAAGGCGGAAAGGCCTCCAGTGTGACACCACCACCTCTGCCTTTCACTGAATGACAGAGATGTCACACACTCAGGGCCGGGCCGGAGTGGGCCTGTGTGGGCAGCAAAGGGAACCATCCGAGCCTGCGAGGAGGGAAAGAGAGTTCCAGTCATGACTCTGCCTCTCATTTCCTCTGCAGCTTTGCTGAGTCACTTAATCTCTCGGGGCTGCAGTTTTCACACCTGTTGAACCTGGGCAGGGTGGGGGGGCGGGTAGGTGCTGGTGATTCTAGAGTCCCTTTCAGCTCCGTGATTCACCATATTCTAAGTAAGGCTGGCCAGAGCACAGAACCTCTTCAGATGTTCATTCATTCCACCACGTTTCCAGGAGCGTTTACTATGTGCCAAGCCCCATGCTGGCTTTCCTGCCCTGGGGAGCTCGGAGCCTGCTGGAACTAGCAGAGACGTGACTCGCCTGGGATAAAGGAGGGCAACAGGGCGCAGCCACTGGCCCAGGAACATCTGGGCATCTGCCCACCCAAGTCAAGCTTCTTAGGGGGTCTTCCAATGGCTGGCAGGTCCCTCTGCCCCTTGTACAACCTCTGAAAGAAATGGATCTCAGTGGGCAGGTTTTCTCACCAAATCAGTAAGTCATGCCACATGATGGAGCAGAGGAGTAGGTCTCCGTTTGGGCAGGCCATCAGTTGTCAGAAGCTCAGGAAGATAAGAAGAAGAAAAGAATCAGCAATTACTGATTACCATGCTCAGGAATTGAAAATGAATAGAAAAAAAGAGCAAAGGGGCGCCTGGGTGGCTCAGTCATTAAGCGTCTGCCTTCTGCTCAGGTCATGGTCTCAGGGTCCTGGGATCGAGCCCCGCATCGGGCTCCCTGCTCCTCGAGGAGTCTGCTTCTCCCTCTCCCTCTGCCTGCCGCTGCCCCTGCTCTTATGCACACTTGTGCGCACTCTCTCTCTCTCTCTCTGACAAATAAAATCTTTTTAAAAAAATAGCAAAGATGCTGTTTTGAGCATCAGCTGGTTTTTGGCCCCCGGCACCCGTTCCCCTTTCCTTCAATAATAGCACCCTACTTTTCTTCCCCACCTCATGTGTGGGAACAGGAGCACCGTGCCGAGGGTGCCCCTCCTCGCACGTGACCTAAGCCTCTGCACGTGACCACTCCCTTGCTCTTGCAGTAGATGCAAAGGTGCCCTCGGTGGGGCACATGGTAGGGGCACCTTCCGGCCAGGTGCGGTCAATCCTGATGCCTGGAGCACTGGCTTCTGCCTTAGACTTACTTGATTCTCCAGACTTCTCATCAGTGCTAGGATTTAGTTACCTGACAGCCATCAAAAAATTCCTTTCCTGCTCAGGATGGAGCTGGAGTAGGTTTCCACCGCTGGTAGTTGGGGGACCTGACTCATCGAAATTTTTATGCTTAATGCCATGAGGTCCAGTATTGTGCAGTTCAGTCAAAGTGTCTATGTGTGCAGCTTGAGACCTTAGCTCAGGAGGTGACTGAGGGGGTCATGGTTTTGGAAGGTGAACCTGCCACCATTCGGTGGGTGGCTAAGGATGAGCAACACTCATCATAAGATTAATGTTTATTTAAGCTCTCAGGATGAGCAGTCCCTGTGCCAGGAGCTTTGTTCACTTAATTCCCACAGCCCTCTGAGGCAGGTGAAATTATCCCCATTTTGTGGATGAGGAAATTGAGTTCAGCTGGTTAAATCACAGGCCAAAGGTCACTCGGCTGAGGACCAGCAGAGCTGGGATGTGAACTCGGGACTGGGAAAACTCAGAACCTGGGCTTTTAATCAGACGCCACAGTACTTCACTATGAAAGATTTATGAGAGAGTTCTCAAAAATAATACGAGCAGCCCAGTGCCACCTTGGATATAGGGCCTAGGGCTGGGAAGAGCCCAGGAGGACAGCGGCCTCCGTCCGGCTGTCAGCAACAGTGGGTGCTCGGAGCAGAGGCTGCCTCATCAGGGGTGGTGTCTGCTGCAGGGCAGCCAGACACGGGTTCTGCAGGAGCCTGTCCAGGTTGACAGTCAAAGCCACGGGGAAGATGGGGTCTTGGCGAGTGTGGTGAGAGAGGAGCAGGGGGCCAACCCCGGGGGCCCCACACTTGGACGCTGGCAGGAGGAAAGGGGCTAGGGAAGGAGCCCGAGGGGCTCAGAAACCAGGAGGGCATTTTGGAAGACCAGGCTCCACCTGGTGTATTCAGGGGAGCTGGCCTGTGGGCGCCCAGAGGGGCTCAGGCCGCTGACCCGCACATGCCCCTGGTTCTGAAGGGTCCGTCCGAGTGGCTGGCTTCTGGCCCCTGCGAACCCAGGAAGCTGGCGCCCATGCTGCCCAGCACCCACCGTGTGCCGCCCTCCCCATGCCCTTCACGGCAACACCAGCTGAGACCCTGCAAGGGGAGTTCGGCCCAGCTGCAGCCAGGGCCAGCCAGTTCTGTGCTGTGGGGAGCCTGGGGGCTCGGGGGGTGGGTCTGGCTTCTGCGGGCTGGGGGAGGCTTCCACTGAGCCTGGCAGGCAGCCCTTCCTTTCCCTCCCCCTCAGTCAAGGAAGGCAGGGAAAAACGTGTTTTTATAAATAGCTCCAGCCCCAGCTGATTTGTAAATTCAGTGGGTTTTTTGTGTCAATGACATCACCCTCCTCCCCATAGCAACCCCCGACGATATCAAAATTGCCAAGCAACGTTGGAGCAGCTCAGCGCCCCAAACGAGCAGGTCGTTGCCTGAGGATTTAATGGAGAAATCCCAAAGTGAGCCTGGGTGCGTGGTGGAGGAGGGGCGCGCTGCGGTTGGGAAGGAGGCCCGAGGAGCTCCAGGAGCTCGAGGAGCTCACGGTCCAGCCTGCCAGGCAGCCCCGGGCCAGCTGGCGCTCCCTGGCCAAGGCCACGCTCCCTTCTGTCGACAGCAGATGGGGGAGGGCACTGGCCTGATGTGCCAAGAGCTGGGAGCAGCCATCCAGGTGACTAAGCCGGCCCCCTGGCACTGACTCACCTGCTGGCCCTGAGATTTCTTCCTTCCTTTTCGCATCTGATTATTTTGGGAGCTGGAAACTCCGAGCTGCACCTGGGTCCCGCCCCTTCTAGTTCTCCCCTCTCTACCTTGGGCTCCGAGGAAGATGGGACCTATCAGGAATCTGCTGCCACCCCCTAAGGATATGGAGAATGCTGTGGGGGCCCGAGGTTCCGGGAGAGAGATGCTGGCCGGCCAAGTGCAATAGCAGATATGGTGATCGGGCTGCTGTGTCCTCTGGACGTGTCAGGAGAGAAGGCGAGAGCGGTGCGTGCTAACTGGAGTCCTCCCGGGCTGGCTTTGAACTCCCCTCCCGCAGGATACTGCTGCACATGAGTGGCTTCTAGGGTCAGAGTGGCATTTGGAGAGCAAGGCTGGATTGGCTTAGGCTGGCCTGGGCAGGTAGGTGGCTCTGTGCTGGGTGTGGCCCCACGTGTGTGTGTGTGTGTGTGTGTGTGTGTGTGTGTGTGTGTGAGAGAGAGAGAGAGAGAGAGAGAGAGAGAGTGTGCATGTCGGCACCTCCCCCCCTCCAGCTGAGGACAGAGGGCTGGGGACTGGGGACTTGGCAGCAGTTCATCCTAACTGATGCTGGGCCCACCCAGGCTCTGAGCTGGGCTCTGTAGAGAAGGGACACCAGGCGCCCGGCCTCAACAGGGTGAGGAGCAGCTCCAGCTCAGACAGGCCCAGGCCCTCTCTGAGCCCATAGGACAGAGACGCGGGAGGATTTCCAAGTAGGGAATGGTCCAGAGGATGGAAGCCAACCTTGGGGTGGGGGGGCCAGACAGGGCCTTGACTCTCCCCTCTTCTGACAGCCCCAGGGAACTAAGGAGATAGCCTCCTACCTAGGAATTGTGTCATTCCACCGTGTCGTGTCCTCTGCCCAGCCCACAGGGACGCACTCCCCCAAGCGGGGTGCGGGCCGGGCATGGCTTTCTCATACTCAGGCCCCAGCTGGGGGCCACCGCCCGGCCCGGCGCCCAGGCCAGAGCCCACCGCTCCCCCGCGCCCACAGAGCATGCTCCAGTGTGTCAGGCAGAGGGGCGTGGGCCGCCTCCCCCGTGTAGCTGGCAGCCTCCCGGGCACACCGGTGAGTAAGCGGCCAGGGGGAGGAAGGCTGTGTGCCCACAGAGGCAGGACACCGACCAGGAGCCTTCGGGAGAAGTGGCTCCGCGAGCAAAGCACTGAGGTTGTTTTCTTTTCCTTTTTCTCTTTTTCTGCCTGAAGGGAGTGCCTCTTCCTGGGCTAGAGACAAGCACCGGCCTGCAGTGAGGAGCTCGAGGTGTGACGAGGTGTGACGCCCCCCCGAGGAGTGGCCACGGTAAGGTCCCTGCAGCCCGAGGTGGGTTCAGGCTCCCCAGGCAGGGCTGTGGGTAGGGGGCAAGCGTCCGGGCTGCCCACCACCCGGGACAGCAGCAGAGGCTGCGGGTTTCTAGGAGAAGGAGCCCCAACACCCCACCCGACCTGCCGCCACCTTTCCAGGTTGATTTTGAAACAGCCCCGTGCAAGCTGGCTTCTGGCTTCCCGGCCGGAGGAAGAAATGCTTGTTTCTGCTCTTCCTGCCCTTACCTCCCCCTCCTGCCGGGCCAAGCTGGTGTTGTGCCACCGGGATGCCCCTCAGGGAGGCCGCTCTCACCCCACCACCTCTGGGACATTCCGCTCAACTAGTCATCCCACAAATATTTATGGAGCATTGCTGGGACCCGGCTCCCAGTCACACCCTGATGCAGAGTTTGACCTGGCAGAGATTCTGACTCTGAAACTTGGCATCAGGTCAGGTTTTGGGGGAGGGCTGCCTGGCTAGGCACCATCCCTTCTCACAGGCCTCAGGTTCCCCACTTCTGCTGTAGGGTTAAGGACCTGGTTGGTTCCAGGGGGTCACGCCCACTGAGTTTGCGGTTTAAAGTGCTGGGGCCCCACTGAGAAGCCAGACAAATCAGCGTACACAGTTTGTTCTTTCCCTGGTGTCACAGAGCAAGGTTGGAGGGTCCTGCTTGGGGGTCTTTCCCTGAGCTGGTTTTGGTGGGAACAGGGTTCCAGGAGTAGAGCATGGACTCGGGGCTGCCCGACAGCCCCACAGAAGCTCATCTAGCTAGGAATAAGGCCTTTGGGCCAAGCAAGTGGTCCCCACTGCAGCTTAGGAGTGGCAAACCTGGGAACCCTACTGACAGGCGTGCCTAACCAGGAGGGGCTTGGCACCAGGAGCAAGGCTCTGGAAACACCTGACTGGGGTGAAAAGCTCTGCACACCTGAGAATGGGCACAAGGTGGGAGTGTGGGGGCTGCACAGGCCTTCCAGTTCCTTCCAAAGACAGATTGATTCTTTGTGAGCTGAGCTCTGTGGGGTGTACCAGGCACAGGGAAAGGGCAGGCAGGTCTGGGGCCTCTAAGCAACAGCAAACCTCACTCAGCATAATTCCCGAGGATGACCAAGAATGCCCTCGGTCCTAGAGGAGCACATGGGACTGGAGTCCAGATGAACCGTAAGTGTCTCCCATGCAATTAATCTCCATACCTGGCTCCAGTATGAGGAAAATGACCCAGCTGTGGGGGCATTTGCCTCCTTGCAAAAGGTGACTCCAAGCCTAGGGGTCTCCCACGGGTGCAGAGCTGAGCAGCTGTTGGTACCCAGCTGGGGGCAGAGTGGTGGAGGTTATGGAGTGCCAGACAAACAGCAGACCAGCTGCCTGGGTGAGGAGGAAGCGGAGGATAGAGGGCAGGGCATAGGGGGCATAAGGGGCAGTAGGAGAAAAGGTTGCCTGGGCTTTTAAGAGGGCTCAGGGAGGGCTCTGGATGGCTGGCTTTCTTATACCTGCCCACCTCCGTGAGAGGGGGGCTGGGCAGGAAAGAGGTGGAGACACTAGGAGACTGTGCTCCTTACCCAAACAGTCCCAGAGATGCCTCTTTTTTTTTTTTTTTTTTTTTTTTTAGATTTTATTTATTTGAGAGAGAGAGAGCACGAGCAGGGAGAGGGGCTGAGGGAGCGGGAGAAGCAGATTCCCGTAGAGCAGGAAGCCCGATGCGGGGCTCGATCCCAGGACCCCGGGATCATGACCTGAGCTGAACGCAGGCGCTTAACCGACTGAGCCATCCAGGTGCACCCAGAGTTGCTTCTAACACAGTGTGTCCTGGGTGCACTGTCTTGTGGCCTGAAGCAGAGCCCTTCCCGTAGGATACCCTCCACACAGGTTTCAGGACTGACTTGAGCAGTAGGAAGTTTGCTAGCAAACCTCATAAACAGGCATAGCCAACAGGTTGGAATGGAGCATGGAAAATGGAAGCTTTGGAGGTGGAAAGAGCTTTCCACTTCCTGAAGCCGAGCTGGCCCTGCTGCCCCAGGGGAGCATGCCAACTGGAAGCTGCCCCCTTCTGAGCTCTGCCTGAGGGCCCACTCAGGGCTAAGGTGAGACACGAGATGTGAGATAAAGGGGAACTTGACTTGTCTGTTCTTGGCAAGACGTGGGTTCAAGGCAGCACGTGGAGATGGCAATTGGCACCTGGTCCTGGCTCACTGGCTTGCAGGGAACAGGGCTGCCTCACTACTAAGTACAAAACACAGGTGGCGGAGACAGGAAATGAGGGAAAATGCTGATAAAGGAAGGACCGAGCCCTTCCCCTGGGGAGTTAACAGCTCTTCAACAGAGGAGTGGAAAGGGAAGCTGAGCTTGGAGCCAACCCCACCAGAAACCAGCTGAGCTACAGAGCCTTGATCGGCAACAGGGTGGTGGCGTTCTTTTGCCCACCCTGGGCCCCAGACTCGTGGCTAAAGCTGTCAGGCATGACCCATCCAGCCCAGATAATTTATAAATTTTGACCAACACTGGGAGATGGATCTTAACATAGAACTTAACAAAGATGGGCAAAAACAGATTTGTTGAGAATGGAAGGCAAAGGAAGAAGCAGTTTGAACAGCAATGGGTAGAGAATACGTGCTCAAGGAGATATACAAATGCAAGAGGGGGAACGCTGGGAAGCAATGTGGTACCAACTCCAGTTTTTCCTGAATAGCAAATTGTCTGCCACTGAGTTTCTCTAAGGAATGACTTGAGTTTGTGGAGCGTTTCCTTCTCCATCTGGGGTCTAGTTTCAGGTCCTGAGGACTTAAAACAGGCATTAGACAGTGAAGGAATCAAGAGGCCTGGTCCCCTCTTTGAGTCTAGAATTTTGTCACATGGGAGCCCTGATTCGTTGAGGAACTATGTACTCATGAGCCCCATCTGAAGCACAAACTTGGAGGGGCTGCATGCAAGGGGCCAGACCAAAGACTACAGGGGACTTCTTGATCACTCTGACAAGTGACTTAGAAATGCCCAGGAACCATAAGGTGCAGATTCAGAGACTTTATGCTTTTTCTGCCGAAGTTATCTGTTCTATGGATTTGGGAAAGGTAATCCCAGGTTCTATTCGCCTAAAAGAACAAGAACAAAGCATGTCCCAGAACATGACATACTTTCATATGCTGGGGGGAATTCGCATGCAAAAAACGGGTTCCGGGTCCACCCAAACTGCATGGAGCACCATTAGCCCCAGCAAAGGAACATCCGTGCTGGCCAGCGTTTTCTATAAAACCTCATTATAACACATCAGGCAGTACAGAGACCCAGGTCTTTACAGAGGGAAGACAATGATGGGTTTTTTTGGAACACCTGTGGGTTTTTCTGCGGTAACCTTTTCCCCTCGAAGTGCTGCCTCTGTCAGGAAATGCAGGCATCGTTCTGCTTGGCTCTGGTTTGCCCAAGTGTTGGGGCCTCTGGCTAAGCGGGTGGAGGCAGATCTGTGCTCTCTTGCACACTCAGGCTGATCAGGACGTGGAGAGGGGGACCTCTGGGTGCTGGGGGAAGCAGGTCCCAAAAGTTCAGGTCAGGTAGTGAGTTGTTCTGGTCTCTGATTCCAGTGCAGCAGGGACCCAGCCCAGTCTGCTACACACACACACACACACACACACACACACACACACACACACACACACGCCCCGCCCCAGGGCAAATAGCAACCAGCTATTTTTTTACTACACACACACACACACACACACACACACACGCCCCGCCCCAGGGCAAATAGCAACCAGCTATTTTTTTACTACACACACACACACACACACACACACACACGCCCCGCCCCGGGGCAAATAGCAACCAGCTATTACAAAGGTGCTGCCTGCCAGCCTGCCCCAACTCCTGAAGGCTGCAGGAGCAGCAGCAGGGTTAAAACTGGGAGGACTGGTTCTCTGCTTCAGCTTCCTGGCCTGGAGCCTCCAGCCTCCATTTTCTTTCTTTTAGCTTCAGATGAGGAATTGTACAGGAAGGCACAGAGAGGGAAGGGAACTGGGGGACCATTTATTCCACAGCCTCACGGGCATCCAGAGTGCAGTCCGGGGTCAGTGAGGTGGGGTGCAGAGGAGGAAAGGACTGCCCCCTGAAAGGAGCTCGCCATCTTGGATGGCTGTAGCACATTCAAGCCAAAAGGAGTCCCTAAGAATGTTTAATCAAGCCCTATAATTTTATGGGGGGAAGCAGAGGCCCCGAGAAGGAAAGTGGGTCCTGAGATCACACAGCTAACTGGTGGCAAAGCCTTGGTTTCAGGCCTTGGGGGTCCCCACCTCCCAGTGCTGTACTCCCTCACTACCCAGGCTGCCTTTCTGTCAGCAGCAGCATCAAAGGTGACCCCCAAGCAGGGGCAAGCAAAACCTGACGACTTGAGGACGCAGCCTGGCCCAATACACTAAGAGGCCAGACAGGCCCTGATGCTCATCTGTGCCTCCTGCCTTAACAGGGGGCTGGCCCTGCCACACCAGCCGCCCCAGTGCCTCCCCACCCCTGCATCTTGCTCAGCATGCAGCCCCAGCTCAGCCCAAGTTCATTCCCCAGTGCCCCCCAAGGAGAGGCTTTGCCCCCCCCGCCCCCCCCAGGATACTCTCTGATATACAGATCCAGCTAATTCGTAAACAGATTGATTTAAGTTTCGTAAATGGACTGATTTAAGTTCTCCTTGTCCTGGAAAGCATTTTACCTTTTAACCATAGGCTGGCAGCGTCTGAAGCCAAAGAAGAAAGTAATGATGAAGCTCTCTAGGAATGAAAGAGCAATTCTGGGGCAGAAGTCAGAGGAGGCACACAGGAGACCCTTTATTTCTGCTGGTTTTTTCACCGGTATATACTCTGACCCCAGGCAGGAAATTAAATGTCTGACGGCCACCACCAGAGGTTAGGTCCCGGAAGCAGGAGGCCTGTCGCCTGTCATCTGTCACCCTGTCACCAGGCCCAAACTGGACAAGAAGACTTTTATGTTCCACTATAGTGGGTCTTGCTGGAAGATGGTGTGTC